CCCACCCACCCATCACCCTATCCCTCCTACGGCACATCCGTGGCTGCAGTGGTCCTCCTGTCTGCTATGGCCGGGGCGGCAGTTTTGGCGTCCTTGGTGCCGGTGCGCGTCACGGTGCGTGCGTCGGTGGCCCTCACAGGGGGCGGGGAGGGCTCGTCGTCGTCCAGCACCAGGCTGGTGCTCACGGGAGGCAGCCGGCGAGGCGGACGCACATACTTCTTGCTCTTGTCCTTCCTGCAGGCGAGAAGAACAAGACACATCTGCGCGTCGTTTGAGCCTTTTTGCGTCCCTTCCCGCCTCTCTCTGCCGCTGCTTACGCGTGCTTGGGTGTAGGAGGCAGAACTACGTGGCCGGCGAACGTGAGCGCGTCCGCGATGCCCGACAGCATTCGCTCGAAGGTGTTCATGTGGCGGGGTGAGCTCGTCGGACTCGTGGACGGACCGCGCGTCTCGCCCGAGGCCGCGGGAGGCTGCTCTTGGACCGACATCGCTGACTAGTGGTGGTGAAAGATCTCAGGGCCGAGACGTCTACGAGGGCGGAAGATTGGCACCCCCTATTTCTTGCTGCGTAGAGAAGCCGACAGAGGAAGAGGCGAATCCTTCGAGGAAAGCGATTTCAGAAGTGCAAGCTCACGACCTTCTCTTGCGAGCTTTTCGTCTGGCGTGCCAGAAGACTGCCAAATCTTACCCTTAACCACCACCACCGAAGACTGCCACCGCCTGAGTTCCTGGCGGCTTCGCCCAGCCGCCAAGATGGACTCGTGGCGCAAGTTTGATCCCGAGCGTCCCAGCTACCGCTTCTTCCCCAACTTCCTCGGCGCTCCACGCACGCCGAAGCAGACCATGTGGATAATGAGCACGCTCCTCGGGATCGGCGTCTTCTTTTCCTATGTGTCTGCGGACTGGTTCGACAACTACCAGAGCAACAACTACGAGAAGTTCGCCAGGGGATATGTTGAGCGGCTGCCCGAGGCGGCCTCGAGCGGCGCGTACGCAAGGACCGAGGCGTACAGAGAGTTCCTCTACAAGCTGCGACGACAGCAGATGGGCCTGCCCGAGAGGCCGCCTCAGTAAGCAGAGTTGCCGACCCGACCCACCCGACTGACAGGCGAGATCGGTGCATGTGATTCGTTTGTTGCTGTGTGGTTCAGGCGGATCAAGATTGTTGATCCCGAGGAGAGCCTCGGGTCGGATGCGGACGACATTCCGATGATGAGGAAGCCTCGCGTGCTCTGAGCGAGGGATGGGGTGGATTGTCGCGTTGCGCGTGGAGGGAGGGAGGGAGGGAGGGAGGGAGGGAAATGGATGGCGTGTTTTTCCTGGTACAGCACACTTGCTGTTGTTGATGTGGTTGTGGTGGTTGGGTGGTTGCTGCTGGGTCTTGGCTGGTTGGTCGGTTGGCTGCTTGCTTGGTTGATTGACGTGTGTGTGTGTGTGTGTGGCAGTCAGTAAGCCTACCGGCCTCAGGCCGCAGTCAGTCATGGCATGACGAATGGGCGGGATCTGTCAGTGCACATGACATGACATACACAGATGGGACCACTCAAACCATTTGGCTTCTTGCTGGCGATTGATGGCGAGAAGCAACACATGCAATGCGATTGAGATCTTGCTGGCGCGACCCGGCAGATCTGCGGCATGTGAACGCTCAGGAGAGGACGCTGGCCTTCACAGGAATAGGTCACCATCGCAGCTCCTCCGCCACTCTAAGCTCGCAAACGCTGCGGCTTTCACGAAAACACTCCCTCTCCCTCTCCCCCTCCCCCTTTGTGTGCGCCGTTCGAGCAACCGACAGCTGCAACGATGGACATCACGCCTCACACAGGTCAGTCAGGGCAGGGGTAGATCTGCCGCCCGCTTCTATCCGTCGCCTGTGCTGTGTGCGGAATGTGCGTGCATGTGTTGTGTGTGCAGGCGATGGCGGTCCATCGTCACTCGGGCCTCCCGCATCAGGCGCGCCTGCCGGCCTCCCGCACAAGGCCGAGTTCAGGATGAGCCTCTCGTCTTTCTACGTGGTCTCATACCCACTCACCGCGGTCAGCCATGGATTGAGAGAGGCTGGCGGGCGGGAGGGAGGCCATTGAGGGAGGGAGGGAGGCCATTGAAGGAGGGAGATGCACGCAAATCAATGCACACATCAGATGTGGCCACTTGCCTGTCTGTCGTGGGTGGTGTGGTATGGTATGGTGGTTGTTCATTCAGATGAACTATCGTGCGTTGACTCAGAAGTTCCAGCGAGTGCAGCAGAAGCACTTTTTGTCGCAGGTGCAGCCGCCACTGCCCAACGATCTCATACGCAGTGTATACAGAGGGCTCAACTGGGTAGGTGCACCAACACACTCACACACAACACGTGCACACACACACACACACACACACACACACACAGACAGACAGACAGACAGACAGACACACAGACAGACAGACAGACGGGACAAGGGGCCTGGTGGGCCATCCGGTGGTGTGTGGTGTGTGTGTGTTGGTTGGTGTGGTTCATTCAGATCTATGGTCACGAGGGTGTAACGGGTCTGTACAAAGGCTTCCATCTTCACGTTGTCCACCTGTGCATAGTGTACGCCATGGACACACTCTCACGCACACCCACGCCCAGCCTCTCCCTGTCTGCCTTTCTGTCTGTCTGTGTGTCTGTGTGTGCCTGCCTTGTCAGTGATGGTTTGAGGTATTCCCTCGAGTGGCTGCTGCACGACCGCCTGCAACGACTCTGGAGGGCAATACTCAATATGTGGCCATGGGGTGAGCCAGTCAGTGAGTCGTTCCATCACAACACAACACACCCCACACACACATGGCTTCCCTCGTTTCCCTCTCCCCCTTCCCCCAGGCCGCCCATCTGGCGACCAGCAGCAGCAGCCCCTCAGGGTAGCTGAGGGCGCCGCCCCACCACTGGCAGCAGCACCGGCGGCCGAGCGACGGCTGGCAACGAGGGAGAGGCCGCCTACGTCGTCGGGCAAGGCGACGAGCGGAGCGTGGCCGGCCGACTCGGCCCAGTGGACGGTCAAGTATTTGAGTGATGTGGTGTGCTACCCGCTGCTCGTGTCGACCACACGGGTCATCGCTTATGAGGGGCCGCTGACCACATTCGGTGGGTACGTCTGGGTCAGTGTCGGGCAACGAATCAATCGGTATGTATATGTGTGTGTGTGCAGACTTTCTGGAGTGTGTGACGTTGACACTTCGCGAGGATGGCTGGATGGCCTTTTTTGCCGGCCTGGGGCCATACCTCGCCAACTCAGCCAGCGATGACCTTGTGAGTGACTCAACGACCAAAAAGAGGAAGGCAGCACAGCAAGGAAGGAACCAGCCCACAGACATACAGGCCACGGGCTCATGTGTGTAAGTGTCTTGGTTCGCTTGTGTGTGTGTGTGTGTGTGTGTGTCAGGCTGGCTGTCTGTTCCGGCGCGTGGCGTCGAGCTATCACCTTGATCCGAATGAAATCGGATCGCTCAAGGGCTGCGTCTCAGGTACTCACTCCGTCACTCACCCGCCCCCTGTATGCCTTGATGTGTGTATGTATGTGAGTGTGTGTGTTTGTGCAGCCCTGGTTCAGGCCTTGACTAGCCCACTGGTCTCGCTGTCGCTTGTCAGGAGATGCCAATCCAGGATACAGGTAAGGCCGACAGAGAGAGAGGGAGGGAGGGAGGCTCATGTTGATTGACCTGATCTGATTGGTTCCATCCACTCACTCATCCATCTGTTTGTCTGTCTGTCTGTCTGTCTGTTTTTCTGAAGGGTTTGTGTGAGCCATGCGACCGCATGAAGATCCTCAAGTCTGTGTCCTACCAGGTGGGGCGTGGGTGGGTGAGTGAGGCAGTCAGGGAGGGAGGGAGGGAGGGACGCACAGATGTCGGTCGTGTCAGGTCGGCCATTCATCAGCGCAACTTGCAACGCGCGTACTTGTGTGTGTCAGAGCATGCTCATCCAAGTGGGCCTGGCGACCTTCCTCTTCTCCCTCAACCTCCTGGTAAGGAAGGCCTTAGCATAGCCTGGACACACACACACACACACACACAATCCTCACTCTCACAATCAGTGCCTGTCTGTCTGTGTCTGTGTCTTTGTCTGTGTGCCTGTGTGTGTGTGTGTGTGTGTGTGTGAAGTTGATTAAGCTGGTTCGTGCGCAGCTGGAGGAGGAGGAGGAAGAGGAAGACGAATGACATCTGTCTGTCTATCTGTTGTGGTGTGCGATATGCGTGCCTTCCGTGTGGATCCGCAAGAGAGTCTGGCTGGCTGAACGCGGACAAATGTCATGTCCGCACAGACAGACGTCACACAGTGTTGGTTGGTTGGTCGAGAGAGCCAAGCTGGCAGTGTGTACACGCCCCCCTGTCCACCCACATCAACACACCACCAAAGGCGAGCACAGCACAGCCCCCCACTCCCACCCCACACACGTGACCACAATACGAGAAAAAGAGAAACAACTATCATCACTGCACAGCACATGACTCCTCCCCACTGCCCATTCCCCAGCCCACATTCAGCGTCAGTACTCGAACTGCGGCACGGGTGCCTGAGGTCCTCTGGCCTTGTAGGGGTTGACGTGTCTGTCCGCCCGGTCGTAGCTCGTCACGATGCACTCCTTGACAGGGTAGGCCGCCTCCTGCACCGCATACCCGATGCCGCGCGCCACAGTCATGAACCCCTTGCCGATGAAGGCTGCCGTGTCCACCGTCCCCTTGACGGCCGTCTTGGTCATGGCCCACAGAGGGTTGTCCAGGTCCTCCTCGTTGCGACGACGCCGACGGCGGGGCCCGCTGTCTTCCTCCGCCATGGGACTCGCCAGACGCTGTCAGTGACTCTCAAATGGGGCTCGGAAGAAACAGCGGTAGGGGCGAGTTCCTGGGCGAAGAACTGACCGAAGCAGTAACAGTGTGTCGAACAGAGCTTCCGGGAAGCTCAAAAACACGAGAGGGGTGACGTGCCGCTACTAGCAAGCTCGCAGCGGATTCTGAGTCGCGAGGTGGATCTGCGGCAGGCGGCGCGGTGAGTGGTGCATCCACAGCGCATCTCAAGAAGGGCATGAAGAGCTGATGCGTTTTGGTCATGGTGCGTCAGTCTCACCATCAGCCGCTCTGCTGAACCTCTTGGCGCTCAGCTGCCTGGCACTGCGCTGCGAGGCCTTCAGCAGCAGCAGCAGCACCCTCAGGCTGTCGCTGAGAAGAAGACAGTTCTTCAGCGCCTCGACGATGGACAAAACGAACGGGTGTGAGAGAAGATACAGGCATCTGGCTGGCGCACTGGCTGCATCATGAATGATGTGCTGTGCGTTGTGCGTGCAGGGAGTCCCGCAGCAGCTCTCTCTCCGCGACCTCCACCAGCATCTTGGGCTCTTGCTTTTACCCATCTGCTGGCGACTGCCTGCGCGTCATCCTCGCCAGCAAGAGCCCCAGAAGAAAGTACCTACCTACACACGCGTCCCGTGCGCTCTCCGTCCATGCATGTGCTGTGCTTGTTTCCCTCTCTGTGTGCAGAGAGATCTGCGGTTTGATGGGTCTGGACGTCACCGTGTACCCCTCAACATTCGCTGAGGACCTCGACCACGGCGCCTTCTCGTCGCCACAAAGCTATGCAGCGGCCAATGCGGCTCATAAGGCCGCCGAGGTGGCCCGCGGCGCCCTGGGAGCGGGCGGTGATGACGAGTCATCGACATGCCCTCCTGCCGCTGATGTGGTCATCGGTGCAGACACCATTGTCGACCTCGACGGCGTGATTCTCGAGAAGCCCGCAAATCATGACGATGCGGTGTCGATGCTGTCGCGGATGAGTGGGCGGTGCCACGCTGTGCACACCGGGGTGGCGATTTTCACGAGGCGAGCCGGGCCCGCTGAGCCTGTTGCACATTTCGTTGAATCCACAAAGGTGCTCACGTAGGCGAAGAACACACGAGCGGTGTGGATTGGAATTGGGTTCCCCTCTCTTATTTGTGCAGGTGAAGTTTGCGCCGCTGAGTCGGAGTGAGATCGATTCTTACGTGGCGAGCGGGGAGCCAATGGACAAGGCCGGCGGATACGGCATACAGGGACTGGTAGCCCACATAACCGCGTGTGCGTGAGGGTCTTTATGTGTGTTGTGTGGCTGGTGTCGTGTGTGTGTGTGTGTGTGTGTATTGCGTGTTGTTGTCAGGGTGGCATGTTTGTGGAGTCGATAGAGGGGTGCTACTTCAACGTCATGGGCCTGCCCATGCACCACCTGTCCAAGGTGCTCGCCCAGCTGGACGCCAACCGACAAATCGTCTGATGGATGGATGGATGGACTGATTGTCATGAAGGAGCTCAGTGCGGTAGCTGTCGATAAGAATGGCCGACGAGATGCGTAGGTAGTGTTTGAGTGAGAGACATGAATGCAGTGACTAAGTGATGTACAGACAGTACATGCTCTCGGTGTGTACGAGTTCAATACTTCCATCCCTCCACCCCTCCACAGAGAGCGTCCAACACATTGATTGATCCCTCAGATCTCAACCAGCCCCCTTCTGTCTGCCTGTCTGTCTGTCTGTCTGTTGTCCCGCATGACGCGATGCAGTAGACGTGAGACGGCATCCCACACGCCAGGAGATCCCGTCACACGTCCACCACGCGTCAGACACAACAGCACCGACAGACTGAACCATGCACAGAACTGATGTGGTCGGTCTGTCGTTACTCAAGCTGTCTTGTCTGTTCGTGTCAGCTGGCGCATGTCATGGACACCAAGCACACAGAGGAGTGCACTGCACTGCACTCGGCCGTCCACGGAAACATCAAAGCACACTAACTGCTGGACATTCGTGCTGCCTCTCCGTTAATCAATTCAGTACTTGCCGATGCCCCATCCGAAGAGCGTGCCTTTGTTCTTGAGTGTCCGTATCCGACGCTGCGTCTCAGCAATGTCAGCTCGGATGTCACCCAGACGCGCCGACTCCACCTCACTCAAACCACGCCTTAAAGAAGACAAGAAAGAACATATCTCCCGCCTCTCTGGTGTGTGGTGTCTGATTGCCGGCTGACCTACCTTGTTTTCCTCTGGATGATTTCGGCTTCGAGTCGTTTGAGCTGCGCCAGCTCCAACTCATACATGTCCAGCTCCTCGGCCTGCAGCAAGCAACACACGCCCCCCCCACACACGTCACCATGGCTGTCGTGCACACACCCAGTGGCCGGGTGGGTGGTGTGGCTGGCGTACGTCTTGCGTCTTCTCTTCCTCCTCACGGTGCGGCGGCGACCCCATCACGGGACGCCTGATTCATGGACCAGTAGACCAACCGACCAACGGCCTCCGTGTGTCTGTGTGTCTGTGTATCTGTCCCTCTTGCTTACGGGTGGTATTTGGGTCGTGCGATGAATGGGGGTAAGAGTGAGGGTGTAGGAGTGGGGTTGAGCTCCTTGAGCCGCTCGTACACGCGCTGCTGGGAGGACGACATGGGCGTCGGAGCAGCCGCGGCACCGGCGCTGCTGCTGCTCGCTGTGGTGGCATCCTGATGGGATGGGGCGGTCCCTGAGTCCAGCTGCTGAGCGGCAAATGAAGAAGCGCCGCTGTCGATTCCCTGGTTGGTTGCGCTTTTCTCTTCCAGCAGTATGAGGCTCTCGACCAGCTCCGCCACCTCCTGCAGGCAGCAGCCCATCAGCTTCTTCTTGTCCTGAAGGCACAAACCAACGACCGGCAGACCGACAGATAGACATACATGTCCCTCCCTCCCTCCTTCCCTCATAGCGTCTGTTTGTGTGCGGAATTCCTTACGCTTTCCTGCTTCCGCCCCCTCCGCAGCCAGGTGTCGACCGTCTCGTCATACTCCTTCGCAGACGGGAAGCCCAACTGACATAAGTAAGGTACATGTCCATCGCACCTCCATGCATTGCTTCATTGGCCGCCATTCTCTCTCTCTTTCTCTGTCCATATTTCTTACCTTCTCGACCAGTGCGAGCGCGTCGGTCCGCCGGACACCGTTCTCTGCAGGCATTGGCCAACAGGCGCTTGTGTAGAGCGTGTGTGGACGTACCCTTATCGAGGTCCAGCTGCAGGAAGTAGGTGCCCAGCTCGTGTTGGAGGTCGGGGTGAAGGGCCACCTATGGCAGACACACACACACACACACACTCACACACAGAGCACAAATGGACCGCTGTGCGTGTGCGGTGTGTATGTGCGTGGATCCGCCTGACCTGGAACTTGGCATTGGTCACGTTTTGCGGTATCCGTGGCGGATCGAACGTGTCCTTTATCCACTGCATAAACAGCAGCTCAGCCAAAGCAACGTTGTAGTCTGACACATACACACACACAGACAACCAGCCAGACACATCCCCTCCGCCCATCCGGTCAACGACTCATCAATCCTCTCTCACTGGCTTTATGCAAGAAGTATGCAAATGTTGCTGCCGCCGCCGCGCCACCGATGGCCATGAGCCACTTGAACGGACCCCAGTGCTTCTTCTTGCCTCCCTGTGGCTGGGCGGAGGAACTCTCTGACGACGCCGAGCCGGCTGCCGGTGTGGGAGGGGAAGTGGGAGAGGCCGAGGCCCCGCTGCTGGAGGAAGCCCCAGTGGCGGGTGTGGAGGGGGGAGGGGTGGCAGGGGCGGCCTGACCACACACACAAACACACATCAAGGTCATGTGGGTGACCTGATCTCATCTCGGGCCGTACCTTTGCAGTAGCATCGGGGTCCTTCTCGGGATCCTTCCCGCCCTCAGTTGACGATGCGCCCGCAGCCCTCTCTGCCGCCTGATGCACAGCGGCTGTGCTCATGCACCTCGACCTCACCCTATGCACAGGGATGGCCGTGGACCGGTGCATCAGCTGGGGCATCGCGCGCCTGCCGGTGCTGCTCCTGCTGGTGCGCATGTGACGCGTGACGTGACGGAGCTGCTGCATCCCACGAGGTAGATCTGGAGGCGCTTCTTGGCAAATTAATGAATAGATCTGTCACTTGGCGAAGAAGGCAGTCCTCGTGAAGCCCTCCTTTCGCAAAAACGTCGCCTTCGTGGAGGAGAAGTGCGAGCTCATGTTGCGAGCTCAGCTTGAGGGGATGAATAGATCTGCTGCTTAAGGTGCTTCAGAACCGCTCATCTCACGTCAATTGAGTCGTATCAAGCTGCAGGGAAAGGACGGCGATGAGATCAACGTTCCCCATTCTGTCCCTCCTCATCGGTGCGGCAAGCGCCTTCCGCCCCTCATCCCTCCCCTCCCTCCGCCCAGCCTCTCTCAGCCGTCTGCGCACCCCTGCCCAGAACAGGCGGCCGTCGTCCAACATGCTGCTGCGGATGCAGACGCCCACCCTTATCGAGCAGCAGACCAAGGACGACAAGGCCGAGGTTGCCGAGTACTTCAACACGGTCGGCTTCGACAGGTGGAACAAGATCTACAGCGAGAGCACAGAGGTCAACAAGGTGCAGCTGGACATCCGAGAGGGCCACCAGCAGACCGTCGACAGGGTGCTGCAGTGGCTCGACCAGGACAGGGCGGGCAAACCTCTCACCGAGTCAGTGTGTGACGCCGGCTGTGGGGTGGGCTCGCTCAGCCTTCCACTTTTGGAGAGGGGGGCGAGTGTGTATGCGACCGACATATCAGCCGCTATGGTCGAGGAGGCCGAGGCACGCGCCAAGAGCTTGCTGGTGAATGGTGGCCATCGGAGAGGGCGGTTTGAGACGAAGGATCTGGAGAGCTTGGGTGGGAGCTATGACACGGTCATGTGCATCGATGTCATGATTCACTACCCTACTGAGAAGGTGGGTGAGGGGGGAGAGGGAGGGAGGAAGGGAGGGAGGGTGTCTGCTTGGATGTGTGTGTGTGTGTGGTGTGTGTCGCCAGATGGAGGAGATGGTCATGAAGCTGGCCTCCCTGGCTGACAGGAGGCTCATCATCTCCTTCGCGCCAGACACATGGTCAGTCAGCCACACATCCCTTCCCTCCCTCTGTCCATCCATCCATCCCCCGTATCGTATCCCTCCCTCACAGGTACTATTCGCTGCTCAAGAAGGTCGGCGAGTTCTTCCCCGGCCCCTCCAAGACCACCCGGGCGTACCTGCACGAGGAGGGCCGCGTCAAGGCGGCACTGGCCAAGGCGGGCTTCACCGTCAGGAGGGACCACATGACGGCCACCAACTTCTACTTCTCACGGCTGTTCGAAGCCGTCAGGCAATGAAGATCTAGACGAGAGATTGAGAGGAGATGAGAGATTGACTTTGTGACGAGGGTCTTTGCGTGTCGTGTCGAGTCGTGCTGTGCTGTGCTGTGGGTGGTGGATGAAAGGGGGGCGAGAGTGAGACTGCTTGTGAGAGATTTTTGATTGGAGGAAGAGAGAGATGGAGGATGATATATGCGGTCGATGCTGTGGATAGATAATGAAGATGCTCTGTGCATGGCACATGGCATGTATGTGACTTCGACGGAGTCAAGGGCAGTTATCATGACGAAAATCCGAACGTCCATCGTCAATCAATCTGCCATGAAGGTCCTCGACACGCGGATATGACAAAGAGCCTATCTATCTACCAGCATCAGCCAGCCATGGTAGAAAACCAGGACCATCCCTCCCCATGATGCAGTCGACTCATGTGGCCACGAGGGGCCGAACCTTGCTGCTGGGTCGGAGGGGGATTCCACAGGCACCTCCTCATGCACCAAACCCTCCTGCGGCCAGAGAGAGAAGGAGAGACGGCACATTGATTGCGTGCGCGTGTGTCTGTACAGAGATCAATCGTTGATTCCTACTTGGTGTGCCGCGTCGATGGCATTTGCCAGAAGCCCCTGCGAAGGAGCACACACATCACACACGCACACAGAAGGCTGTGGGAATGCATGGATGAGCTGTGTTGTGTTGTGTTGCTGACCTGCGGATCGTTGCCCCTGGGGATGAATGAGAGCATGAAGCATGGCCTGTCGAGACACGCTGCCGGATCACCATTAGCATCAGACCCCACACTCCGACGGTTCGGCTGCAGCAGCCTCCCCACCGTCCCAAACAGGTCGCCCAACGTCTGAATGAAAGAAAGGAACACACGCATGATGGATGCCCCCATCTCTCTCCACACACATATACAGAAATGCACGCACGCACCGCACCTCTCTGCTAGTCGCAGGGTACACCAGGTCAGCCCCAATGATGAGCATCCTCTCCTGGTCCTGCCCATTCTCACCCAAGAGCCGCACCAGCCCCTGCTCATCCCCCCTGTCGCCCCACTCCAGCCTCGTGAACGACACGTTCTCCGACGACAGGCTGCGAGCACTGGCCACCTCGTCAGCCATAGGGACGGAGAGACCTTCCCTTTTCTGCCGCTGCCAGCGGGATAACACGGCCGGGTCGCAATCAGTGAGGATCTGACACAGAGGGAGGGGAGGCGGAATACACACAGACACATGTGTGTGAGTGCGGTCGGCTCACTGTGTGGCTGGCAAAGTTGGCGGCGAGGAGTCCTGGCAGCGCTGCACCAGCACCCAGCTCCACAACCACCCTCCCACACAAACGGCGCCTGAAGGGTCATGAATGACAGACATGCGAAGAGGGGCACTGGTTCTCTACTGTGCTCGTGCGTTTGTGCAGACCTGTGGGCAAAGATGGCCTCTGTAAGGAGGTATGCGCCTGGCCATGGGGGCATCACACCCGTGCGGTCAATGCCGCGATCCCCGTCGAGGAAGGCCCCTCTGAAGAGAACACACATGCGCAACACAAAATGGAACGATACGTAGGAGGAACCCATGAGCTGATGGACCCGAGGCAAGACGATCACTTGACCTGAATGTGGTCTGATGGCTGACCCAGGCATAGTGCTCTCCCAACTGGAACAGCCGCCGCTCCTCACCACCCTCACCGTCATCCTGACATCCATTACGCTCCGTTGCTGGACCCTTTTCCTGCTGCTGCTGCCCTCGTCTGTCGGTCTTGCTCCTCTCCTGCCGATGGCGGCTCTTCGCGGCAGCATCTGCCAGTCGCCCCTGCTTAACTGTGAGTGTGGCAATGTCTGCCGGTGTGGGGGCGGGGGAGGGCGGCGTCAGCTGCCACACACGGCGAGCCACTGAGGAACGAACGAACGAACAAACCACACCACACAAAGGCGGTGATCAATCATAGGATGAGAGCCCACACGTACCTTTCGTCACATCGAAGCCCTGCGTCTTCGCCAGTGCGAAGAACTCCTCGTGGAGCTTGGTCTGCCTGTTCCATCCGAGAAAGATCTGCAGGGGCCGCTGATGGGCGTGGTGGCACCGATGGGCCAGCTGCATGAGGGTGTTGAGCAGTGCAGGGTGCTGGTTGACGTACAGGAGGATGTCACAACCGATGGCAACGGAGGAGGGCGGCTCGGCGGGGGGCAGGGGGGTGCCCCATGTGTGGGGGAGGAAGGGCACCCTGTCATCCGAGAGCTGCAGGCATGATTACCGATCAACGAATGCCGTCGTGCGTGTGTTCTCTGATCGTTGCGTACATCGTTAAGCTGCATGTTGTGCCTGAAATTCTCCCCAATCTGACGTATGCAACACAGCAAAGCAAACGATGCCCACCGACAGCCATGCCACCTCACCTGCCCCCTCACTCACATACCGTGTCATCTTCATAGTCGCTCCCCGTCACACTGATTCCGAGCTTGGCCATGAATGCCGTCAAGATGCCCGTCCCACAGCCGAGCTCCAGCACCCTCTCGCCGTCAAACAGCCCCGCCCTCGCCCTCCCCAGCAGCCACTCGGCCATCTCCTGGTTGCCATGCCAGACGATATTGGCATTCAGCGGGTGGAAGGCGTACTCGCGGATGCACAGAGAGATGGCTGCGGGCATCTGGAACACGCGGATCTGGATCTGGTGCTGCTGATCTTCCTGCTGTGTGTTTGTGTGTGTGGGATTGGTTCCATCGGGTTGGTCTTGTTCGCTGTCGCTGTCGCCGTGGAAGACATCGCCGATGAAGAAGGGAGGGTCGAAAGTCTCTTTCGTCGCTTTCATTGAAAGGCCAGTTGCATGCGAGCTTAGAGGCGGGAAGAAGTGGATCGCGAATCTTCTCCCGGCGCCCTTCACAAAGCCCTTCACAAACATCCACGACTCTTTCAGTCCGCAGCTCATGCAGCAGTTTCATTGCAGAAGCCACCTTCAGATGCTTTCGGCCCGGTAGCCAGCCCGTCCCGTGCAGAGATGCAGTTGCGGTGCGGACGGAGATGGATGGCTTTACTTGTGGTGCTGTTTTGGTTGGCTGCTGTGCACCCATTGGCTGCGCTGGACCTCGTTGGGAGCATACAGAACGTGTAAGGCCGGCCACAGAAAACACTGGCAGGAGGCCGGCGCGTGTGCATGGGATGGATGTGTGTGTGCATGGTGGTGTTTGTTGCAGAGATGCGTCGGAGTTTGATGCGCTGATCAAGCGGGAGCCGTTCGTTTTGGTGTTCTTCTACGCGCCGTGGTGCTACTGGTCACAAGTTTTTTTTTATGGGAGGTGCGGAGGACACAGCACACCACACACATAGGACGGTGTACAGTAGTGTGGCCGGCGGGTCCTGCCTGCAGCGTTTGCGATAGCTGCGTTGAAGCTCCGGCTGCACGAGCCGCCGGTGGTGAGTGTCATGGTGGACGCCGTACGGCAACGAGCCATTGCAGACAAGTACCATAGTACTCCCGCCTCATCCACATACAAACGCCTTTCATTTGTTTTGTGTGTGTGTGTGTGTGTGTGTGTGGCAGGTATGACATCCGTGAGTATCCCACAGTGTCATTGTTTCTGGACGGCGAGCGGTTCGAGAACAACTATCAGGGCTCCCGGGCCCCGAACTCGCTGGTCGTCTGGGTCAACAGACACATCGACAGGGTCCACACGCAGGACATCCACACACCAAGACAGAGAGAGGGAGAGAGAGAGATTGTGTGTGTATGTGTGGGTGGGTGCGCGTGTGTGTAGGATCACGTGTTGCAGGGTGCATCAGAGCTGGAGCATTTTCTGCACGACCCTCGGCACGGCAGTGAGGATGTCACTGTGGTGGGGCTGTTCCACGCCGACGAGCACAGACACCTCGTCAGGCCTTTCCAACACGTCTCACGGGTGCGATTGATTGATTCTATGGAATGGCATCGGGATGGATGGATGGATGGGCGGATTTTTGTTTCTTGCAGCATCACGACACAGTGCTGTTTGGCCACGTCGACGAGGCCCATGAGGACGTCATCGACTTCATCAAGAAGACATACCAACTGGACGTCAAAGTAGGACACACACACACACACACACACACCACCCCCCCTCTCCTTGTGTGTGTGCGACATCAGCTGCCGTCGGTCATCATTTTCAAGCCCCACGACGAGAAGATGGCCGTGTTTGCCGGCTACCTCAATGACCTCAACGGACTTGACCTCTTCGTCAAGCGCCACAAGCTCCCCGCAATCAGCAACTTCACGCAAGACACGTACGCCCCACCCCTGCTGTAAAAAGTCATCTCTCATTCAGTTGAATGATTGATGGTGATTGATGGCGTCGGTGGATGGATGGATGGATCGTTCATGCCATGCAGCGGGGCGAAGGTGTTCCCAGATGGGCGGCCGATCATCTTTCTGTTCAAGGACTACTCCGACGCCAGCTGGAAAGCCGGTCCGTCACAACTGAAGGCATCACCACACCGTCTCCTCTCTGTCTTTCTCTCTCTACGTCTGTGTCTTGTGTGCAAATGCGGCATTTCGCAAGACGCGTGCGGCCTACACGGACGTCTCGCCTCTCTGGGCAATCACTGGCGCCAACGAGGCACACGAGCGGAGGCTCATGGGTACCCATCCGTCCACCATCACCATGACAGCTGCGGTATGGTATGTGTGATTGGCAGAGCTGACAGGAGTGGACAACATCGAGGACGAGCTGCCTGTGGTGATGATGGTGGCCATGAACCCGGGCGGCGATGAGCACTACTACCCCGCACTCAAGTGGAAGCTCCAGGGCACGATAACCAAGGCAGCCCTCCTGCGGTTCATAGCTGACGTCAGCAACGGCCGCATTAAGCCCTTCCTCAAGAGCGAAGCTGTCCCCGACGACAACATTCTCGTCACCAGTACAGTGGACACACAGAGGCACACACATGGGTGCTGGGGTGGATGGATGGATGTGTGTTAACGTCGTGCAGGCAATGTGATGACGGTCGTCGGGCGGACGTTCGTGTCTCAGGTGCTGGATGTGCCGTACGACGTGTTTGTCAAGTTCGAGGCGCCCTGGTGCGGACACTGCAGGAAAATGGAACCTGACTTCAAACGGGTGGGTCTGAAGCTCCCCACGGCAGAGAGAAGCATCGAACCTCTCTCTCTGCCTATGTGTGTGTGTGTGTGTGCAGTTGGCCCGTCAGCTGCGGCATGTGCGTGACATTCGGTTCGCGCGCATCGACGCAACGAGGAACGAGCTCGAGGGCATCGAAATCGGTATGGATGGATGGATGGATGAACGGAACGCACTGGGGAGAACAGACAAAGAGACAGACACGCAAAGCGCAACCATGTGTGTGTGTGCAGAGGGGTACCCGTCGCTGATACTGTTCAAGAGGGACGCCAAGCGCCGGCCGGTCGAGTACTCCGGCACTAGAAACTACGACGACATGCTCATGTTCCTCCAGAGACAGGTAAGGACGCACAGCACACAGCACACACATTTCACTGACTGACCAATCGTGTGTGTGCGTGTCTGTGTCTGTGCCTGTGTCTGTTTGGTGGTGGTCATCCAGGCGACAGTTCGGTTCGACCCCGACCCGCCGCCTGGCTTCCCTGTCGATGACGACGAGCCGCTGCTGGGCGACACATCAATGGACGACAGCAACGTCAAGGATGAAATGTGACTGACCAACGGCCGACGGTACAGTGGCGTGTGTGTGTGTGTGTGTGGGTGATGGGACGGAAAAATGGAACGGAATATTGTCTGATATGGTAAAGTCATGGAGTGTTCGGCAGTGATCTTCAGTCACACACTCACTCACACAGAGAGAGAGAGAGAGTGCACCCATTTGCTCTGGTGTCCATCCATCCATCCACAATATTGCAATAACATCGATTCGACGAACGGATCTATATGTCTACCTAGGTATCTTGCCATCATGACTGTGTGCACCCCGCAGGCAGGCAGGTTAAACCACGGACACCCCCACACCACACCACACCACACCACACCACACACACCCCCACTCCCACACACCGTGCCAGTGCACCCTTTGACTCACTCAGCCCCCCCCCCCC